CTGCCATCGTCAACAATTGCGTGGGTGGAAATGAGTCTGTCTCAGAAATAGTGTGCAGTCGCCAAATTACAAATTTTTCATTCGAACTTAGAAACAAGATTTATATAAAATTCTGAACAACATTAATTTAGTTGAAATTATCCTAATGGTTCTTAAAGATATTGTTATTATTTATGTTATTTTATTAATTTATTTAATGGCATAGTGGTTGCCAATTGCATATATGGCGTTGATGCAACCACAACAATTATATAAAAAGAAATTTCAAATTATTATTTTATACTATGGCAACAATTTTTAGAAAAGAATAATAATTCTTTCTCTTCAAAACAATTCTACTAAAATTCTGAAATATAATTCTTTTTTCTATTTTTCGTTTTATGGATCATTCTTTATTTAAACCGTATCGGTAATCGTTAACCTTATTATTCCTGAAATTTTTCGTATCATTGTAGGTAAATATTATATGTATTTAGTTCGGAAGATAATACGGATTTTTACGTACATAGTTTAATTTTTTCTTCTCTTTTGTTCTTGTTAAAAAAGCGTTGCGAAGTTTAGAAGTTCACTTCAATTTCAAGATTGATTTTATTCAAGCTTATGATATGAAATAATAATAACGTAGATAATAAAGATATTAAGTTGTTGCATGTTAAATAGTCAATATCGAAACTCTAGCTTGAATTCATGACAGAAAACATACATTCATTTAATACTTTACAGAATAATACTTACTCTACGTCGAATTAAAGCCTGATAAAAGTCTAATAAAAATAGCTACATATATGTATAAACTCACCTGTGAAGTTCTCAATTAAAAATCGCGGATAGACAATTACAATTAACAATCAACCAGTGCGTTATAAAATTATAATTATTTAAATAAAGTACTCGAAATAAAATATAAATAATTAACAAAAAAAACTTAATCTTTTCAGAAATACAAAAAATTTTGAATCGTTAAATTCGACCATTTAATTAGCAACGACTTAACACCACACAATCACCTCGTTCATATATCAAACGAAACACATCATTAACCGAGAAACGTAACAGCACAACAGATTTCAGACAGCATAAATTTCATTTTCAATCACGTTCCTTTATTTTACATTGCCATTTAGGATATCATTGTGCTACGCGATTCTCGATCCAAAAGCCTCTTGTTCACCTTACAATCTATAAAAAACATAACGACCTCGCATGAAAACGTTATTTTTTTTTTTTTTATGCGATAATTATTTCTAAAGGAGTCCTCTTAAGCGCATGTGTACAGAGATAAAACTTTCCTCTACAGTTTGAGCATACCGCGCGGCTTTATTTATTTATTTATTTATTTATTTATTTATTTATTTATTTATTTATTTATTCATATGTTATCCCCCTTTTTCTTTTGCTTGAACGAGTAACATTTCATTATAATAATTAATATCTAAAAACCGACCGTTTGGAAACGGTTAGTTTTGCGAGAAACAATCTTTTCAAATAATAAACACAACGTTTAAAAATAATAAAAGTTGTGGAATTTTCTTTTGTTGTTTTATTAATAAAAAATTTCTTTTTCATTATTTGAAGATATTGTTTCTCTGACTCTACATGATTTGTGATATACATATGTACGTGTATGTGTATGTGTTCGTGTAGTTGTACGTAGAGAGATATATAATTATGTACAAATGGTCAATAGATGCACGGGATTTATTATTCATTAGTCGTCATTGTGCGTCATTTCGAGTGACATGCAACGATCGGTGTGTCGACAAATCGCGCGAACTCAGATTCATCGATTATTATTTTTGGTCGATTATTTATTTTATTTATTTTCTTCATCGTTATCTCGTTCACATTTTCAATGATTCGTAAGTCGTGGTAAGAAAGAGTGAATGAGGGTTCAACGAACGAGTTCTATTTTAGAAGGTACCTATAAATTCCGATGCGAGTTTATGACAGAAAAGTATCAAGAATTACCTATATCACTTATGGTTTCATCTAATTAATGGCTGAGGTTTAGCAAAATTATAAATTAAGAAAGACAATTATTATTTAAATTTGAAACTCGAAAGTTCTGGTAAGAATTCTGCTGTAAAAATTTATATAATTGGCTCTTGAATATTCCTATTACAAGTAAAGTAAACCACACAAAAGAAAAAATTTTATAAAAATTATTCTTTATGATATGTGTGTGCGATTTAATGAAATATCCTGTATATTTTGCGATTCTGAGTTCCATCGATTTCTTCGTACTCCGTAACACGTCTCTACTGTTATTATTCATATAAATGTAAACAAACGTTCGCTGGTTTGGTTTATTTTTATCAATAAAGAGAATTCATTCCATTATATTAATATTTTTCTTAATTATACATATATTTATCGCGATTTTTGTTCAGCTGATCGAGAAACGATGAAGAATGATAGAAAATCAAGCATCTTCGTACGCACCTGCATTTAGATTAGGAACAGAGACGAATATCGGGGACAGACTACTCTCGGTTGCCCGTGTAACCTAATTCAATTCCTTTGTATTTAGTTCATTAAACGAATCCCTTAATTAATTATATGTATAATAATTTTATTTTATACTATTCAGTTAACCTTTATCCGATTAATCGATTCAAATATCAACACCACCATTTTATCATTTTATATTTATTAGGTGTAAAAATCAATTTTCAGTAGTTTTAATTAATTTTCGAATAATTGGGGTTGGAAAATTAAATTGCCGTATTTGAGAATTTTTTTTGCAAAAACCATGAAGTCTATAACAAATCTATTACATATAAGAAAGCAATACGAGTATTTTTCTTAAGCTATACAGGATGATTTTTGGATATTCTCTACTGAACAAGATGGCAGAGATACATCTGTCTTAAGAAGACTCTACTTAGGCGCTCTCATCAGAAGTATGTAATCATGTTGAGACCGTTGTACCTTCGTCATTTTGCTGTCAAAATAAAATCCAAAAATATTTTCACATAGCTTAAGATATTTAGAAAAAGAAATGTATATTTCAGATTTTTGAAAAAAAAAAAGAAAAAAAACACAAAAACTGATTTACCCGATAAGGGTTAACGTTAACACCTTCTTAGATGTGTTTCTTAACACGTTGACTGTATTGAAATTAAAATAGAATGAAAAATAATATTCACTGGTAGCAAATTGAAATTCATTTACATCAGTCAACGTGCTAATTGATTAATTAATTCGCTATTTAAAAGTGATTTTCTCTGACGCTTTCTTATGTATATGTGTTAATAGAATTCCATATTTATATAACGTATTTACCTAAGCACACTCCTATTTATAATTATTATTTATACCTGATTGGAATATACATATCGTTTTGTTTTATACATACGCGTTTCGCGTCCTATTCATTCATTAGCGTGTAATAATTTCCTAACACGCTAATTAGTGTATATTATGCATGTTAATATGATTTCTTTCTTTTTTTTTAATTACAATTTCAGAGATCGCTTTCTTTTATATTATTTAATGTTGTAACAAGTGCTGTATGACCACGCGTTGACGTTTTCTAATTGTCGACAGTGGTGCCATCATAAATCATATCCAATATTTTTCATTATTACATTATGGATGGTTTCTTTTTTCTTTTCTTTTCTTTTCTTTTCTTTTCTTTTTTTTTTTTTTGCTAATCTAGGTAAAGGATATCCGGTAGGAATTTCGTGAGATTGTGTATGAAACGTTCGCGCTCTCAAGTTCGTAATTGGTTGGTAAATTGGCAATTTCCCAGGCTAAGCCTCCGACATTTCCGGTATCCTGGCCGCCTTCGTTCGTCAAGCAGATCTACACGTAATTGACAGCAATTATCCGTGAATGAAGACGCGTTAAATTCTACCACGTGACGTGGATCGTCGAAATTGAGCTACAGCGAGTTCCACATCTAGGGAATTCCATCGATTAAACGCTTGTCTTCAGAGAATCTCTGTTTTCACACCATGTTTCGTCCATGATACAAAATTTACAATACAATTCAAAGTCATCATTATTTTCATTTAAAAATATGAATATTATCTCTGGCAATGATATCTTAAGATGACACTCGATTAAAATGTTTCACGTCTTATGACAACATCCAGATTGTAAGAAATCCTAAAGCGTCCTAAATAGGAAAAGAAGTCAGCTGTATAATATTTGTTGAATCTAAATGAAATCACACCTGATCGATCGATAGGTTATCGATAAATTGTAATTACTATTGTTTTCATGGCACCAGTGTCGACAGAACACTCGTCTCAAGGGGTTTCGCGTTCGGCAATGATTAATAATCAATTCTTATCACAGAAGTTATTTACACGATGCACGCTCGATCGATCGATCGAACGAACGAGGATTCGTTTGCGTTCCCTTTTCTTTTCTTTTCTTTTCTTTTTTCGAAGCACAGACAAGAAATCTATCCATCCTATCGGAAAGATACTCGAGAAAATTGCGCGTTTTAATGTCCGTCGTCGTTGCAAACGTCTCCTCTGCTTTATTGTGCACAGTTTCCATGACAGAGAGATAACTTTGCTCTTCTTCATGAAAAACCGAAGAGCTTTTTTCATTGATCTTTAGTGCGTGTTCCTATTACGTTCAAAACGCAATATACAGGGTGTTTAAAAATATATTCAACATTTTCAAAAAAAAAAAAAAAAAAAAAAAAAATCAACGAGAACGATCATAAATCTCGAAATGAATATTTTCAAAAAATTCAACTTTCTATCAGTGGAACGATTTGAAAATTTTCACTGCGAGTAACGGATCAAACTTTTTTTAAACACCCTGTATAAAAACGTGTCTCTTTTAACAATTTTGTCAAATCGTGTAACGTATACTATAATTTGAATACGATAACGAATTTCATTAAATTGTTTCATCAATTTACCTCTTATCAATTAATCAATTCTATAATAGATACACATACTTTGTATCAAACGTGTCGAACGGAAGTGAAAAATCTTTCTATTACATATATGTATATATACACATTTCAAATTCGCGTTTAATCGTGTTTATTTGTTTTCTTTTTTTTTTGGTTTTTCTTTTTTTTTGTGCAGCAGCAATAATGATAGCAGCGATAGCAATGACGATTTTTTATTTTTCGTATTAACAATAACGATGATGATAAACAGCAATGATGATGAGAATAATAATAACAACAATAATATTAACAATAATAATAACGTTTTCAATAGTACTAGTAGTGGTAGCATTTATAGTTAATAGTTAATAGTTGTAATGGTAGTGTTAACGATGACGTCTTCCGGTGGACAATGATTTTTTTTTTTATTCTGAATTCCTTTCTTCTGAACGCTTTCAAAACCCCTTAAACGATAGAAATTTGTCTTAATTGATAATTGATAGGCTCGATATTTGAGAATGAGCATTCGTATCATCTTCGTTATCAAAATTTTGACTCCCTTATTATTACAATTAATTATCTCCTAAATTTTCAGGTGTCACGTGTTTTTGCCAATACAATAATATTTAGAAATTTTCCAAAAATTCTTATTCGTTGACTTTTAATTAAAAAAAAGAAATTAAAGATGACGAATTTAATTGAGAAGCGATTCGATTGCTGTGTGCCTCAACATTCAAATGCTGGACATTCAGCAGGCGATATCACGCGAATCTGTTAAATCATCAAAATTGTCGATCTTGTTCGATGAAATAGGTATATTTATTAAGATTTCAATGATTATTTCGTTGTTTTCGAAACTGACCACTCAATCGCCACAACGAAATCATTAAATAATTATCACAATTTCATTCATCGCAATTAATGATTGTCGGTGATTACGAGCAATAAGACGGAAGTAAAGCTTCCCAAGAGAAAATTTGGAAAAATTCTCAAGTTATGGCGATTCACTCCATTCCGTTTTCTTTTTTCCTTTTTTCTTTTTTTTTTCTTTTTTTTTTTTTTTTTGATTTCACCTCATTCGAACAAAAATCGACGAATATTTTTGAGAAAATTTCAACGTGACACTTTATTAGAAAGTTCTTTGGTTTATTACCCTCTGAATATTATTACTTTAAAGTTCTAGTGTAAATTAATTAATCTTAAATTTAATTAATGACACCGTACTTAATTACAATGCTATTGATGTATTGAGTCCCACGCCATGCAAACATGTTTTTTCTATGTACATTTATTTCTATTTGAGTATTTAGTCAGAACACCTCGAAGTTATTCATTATTATTTATTAATTATTATGTTTTGTTTCACGTTATTTAGAACAATCGTATTATCTGGTCGTGTAATATAAAATGATGGATTTTGTGAGAAGAAATAAAAATTATTATTTTTTTTTAAATGATATAAAAGTAATTAAATTTTCATAAAAAATGATTACACAAATTTGACATAAACTTCATCTCCTTGACTGGCTCCAAAAGAAAAATTTTCTTCATTCTTTCGAATTAAAAAAGAATTTCTTTTATTCCCAAATTATCCAACGATTGATATTACACGACTTTAATACTATACCCTCTTTCTCTCTCGCTTTCATTCCGTACAGCCATGCTACTGGAAATATATATCAAGTCACGATAATTAAATAAACATTCATTGGTATTTTTGTGCGATTCGAAAATCAATGACTGTACTTCTGCCCTCCAGTTATTTGTTATTTTATTTATAACAAAATTTTTGATTAATATTTCTTAATTTTACATTCGTTGTTTACGATGGTGAATTGGAAAAAATGTTAGTTTTTCAGTTCTTGAAATAAACGTGATATTTATTAAAATAAAGGATTTCAGTTTATTCAAAGGCAGGGGAATTCTTGCCGGAGTTAAAGTTTCTTTTATCAAGTAGCTAATTACGTTTGAGGAGTTCTCCACGTTTACCGGAAACTGTGCCATTATCTTTCGTCGATTATAGTCAAAAGCCTCTTCAACGAATGACAGTCTCCAAGATCCTGTCGAGTGTCCTCAGCTATTCAATATTTCTTTTTACATTTGTATTTCCACCTTAATCCATCGTAAATAGGACAGCAAATGAATTTAATTATCTATTTATTTTCAAATTTTATTTAGAAAAAAAGTTTCAAATGATAATTTACTTGTTTATCAATTTTCTAAAAAGCAATTTCAATTTATTGAAGATTGAAAATTAATTTGTTAAGACCACAATAATTTTGGTAAATTAATTAGAAAATTAAATTTCTTTTGATTTTTTTTCAAAGAGGAAATTCATATCCTTGTACAGTCATTGAAGTACTTCTTTATGGTCGGTAAAATTAAGTGGCAAGCAGGGTATGCTTTAATCGCGCGATCAAACACCTTTATCCCAGTTCAATTGAAAAATCATTCATCAGAATATTCTTCGATAACTCAGATTCGTGTCTGTACGGAAAGCAGGGGTTGTCCAACCTGGCAGTTTTTTGTCTGTTATTTCATTCCGCTCAATTCCTACTGATTTGCAACTGATTTACAATTAGAAGAATTACGTTTTCGTGTAAATTGGTCGGATTAATTTTTAAAGAAATCATTAGTGACAAATGGTTACTAGTTGACAGATATATACGCGATAGTTAAGTTGAAGGAAACTGAAATTTTTTTCAGTGAACTGCAAGGAATTGAAAATAATTGCACCACTTTGAATCTAAAAAAATTATTAAAGCATCTTTGATGATTTTTTTTTAAATAGAAATCGTGGACTTAATGAAAAATCTGATTCAATACATTTTGGTGTACATATCTTACGGTAGGTATACTAAAATATTTTTGGATTTTCTTTTCTCAATAAAATGGCATAGCTACATCTGCCTCACAGTGATTATACTTAGGCGCTCTCTTCAAAAGTAAATACCGTGAAGCACCTGTGGCTCTGCCATTTTATTGAGAAAAGAAAATCCAAAAATATTTTAGAATCAGATTTTTTTAAAAACAGATTTTACCATCGAGCCCAGGACGATTTTTCAAATTCCACCATGGGTTCTTGAAGTTATAAAATTCTTCTATCTAAGACTGTAGATCTATGGCCTTCGGGTACGTAGGTTTCCTAACATATCAATCTTCCACGATACAAATTCTTGAGAACATTGGACACCCCTGTCTCGAGTATCTTATGGCAGTAATATAAAGACCGTATCAGTTCCACGAGTGATCCATACAGGGCGATTGTAACCCCTTATCAAAGCAATATGTAATCCTTATTATTCTCATTATTAACACAAGTATCGTTAATAGTATCATTCAATAATCCTTAACAGTAATTAATATTACGATTATTATTGTTGTTTCTCTTGTTGTTATTATTATTACTATTATTGTTGTTCATTCTCTATGCTTGAAAAAGGCCGCGACAACGTTCTCCCGAAGAAATGTACAGCACCGTTTCTCGAATTCCTGCAGGGAGAGAAAAAAAGAGAGAAAATCATCCGAAATGATTTGAATGACGAACATTGATTTTTATCTATCCGGAGAGAAAGGTGACAGCGGTCTATTAATTAGGTTTAAGTTAGGGTAACCGAAGAAAGTGAACGCACAACGTGGCCGTGTATTGTCAACAGTAATGTCGAGGCGTCTCTGTCCTCCTCCCGTGACATTTCATTCCTACTTGAAGAAATTGATCCTTTTTTTACAGATCGGAACATCCTCTTCTCTTCAGCTTCCTCTTCGCTCAACCGGAAGCTCCGCGTCCAATTTCTCCGTTTTCGTTGGCCGGAGAAGAAAACGGGAGAACAGAGATGGGAGAGCGAGAAGAGGGAGATATAAAGCAAGGAAGATGGTTGTCTTCGTCAGGCTCTCCCGTTGCAGCCTCCTCGAAATCCACGTGTCGTCGTTTCTAGAAAACAGAGAGAGAGAGAGAGAGAGAGAGAGAGAGAGAGAGAGAGAGAGAGAGAAAGAAAGAGAAAAAGTATGGGTTAGTTATGGAGATTTGGAAATCCTTTTCCACGTTTGGGAGCAATTTTAGGGTAATGGGGAGTTTTCTTTAGGAGGTGAAAAGGATGGTATTCTGAAAAATGGTCCTTTTATAGACTTGAAAGATCTTAAAAATTGTTAAGAATTTCAATAATTACAAGACTCAAAGTGAATGAAAATTTTTCTAATATAGTATAATATTTATATTTGAAATATTTTTTAGTCCATCGGTATAAGTCTAATAAGAAAGAGGTGAATCAGTAGTTTAACATCGTATTACGGAGGCCGTTTTACAGAGTGTGTTTCTACTGGGTTCTGGCCTCGTTTTCCAGCACTGAATTAACCGACGAGATTGTTGAATACGTGAATTCGCGCACGTAAACAAATGACTGGCCGGCTATGGCTCGTGAAATGGTGAAATTACGTTGCGGACGTTTCCTTTTTGAAATGACAGCTAGCTGGATGGATAGGGTAGGTATTCGGGAACGTTTAAATGACGCGGCGGATCGCGTGCATGAGTATTAATGACGATGCTTAACCAACCTGTTTTTAATGAATGTCACCATTTTTTCTTTTTACAATTTTATCAGGTCATTTGGAAATTCCAAGATTCTACGATTGCAAAATCCTAAAATTCGAAATCTAAGCTCTAAATAGTTTTAAAATTATAGAATTCTTTAGAAATTTGTAATGACATTCACACAATTCAACAATTGGTGAGAAATTTTCGAAAATTCAATTTAGTTTACGTCCATTTACATGCAATTTCCATCGGTGTCTGTTATTCCTGGAAATTATCCATGTAGCAAAACGAGGTGAACTCGTTATGTAAAACAAATTAACATTTCCGTACTGTATTAATTTCGTTTCCTGCGTGTCTCTTGTGTCCCGTTTCATAAAAGTTATCAAAGTTACAATGTAAAAAAGGGATATAAAATGTCAGTACATATGTATAAATGGAAAATATTTTAAACGTTTACCTTTGGCAATTTTTGTGCATATTTTCGGTGACTTGACCGGGGCAGTCTATTTATTGGACGATTATGTGTGGCGCACGACACAATATGACTATCGTGGCCAGAACCGTGAACAACGTGAATGTGTACAGACAAAGCCTGCAATACAAAAGAATTCCAAGTGAGTTACTATAATAATTCCTCTCTTTAAGAATTTCAGTAGTATAGGTCAATGATTAACACCTAATAGAACTGAATTACTTACTAGTTATCTACATACTAGTGAAAGGAATGAAAAATTGAGAAAAATTGGAAATAGCATCGATTCAAATTGATCAAGCGGGTGTTCAACTTTTCTTTATCGACGTTAACTTTCTTGGCAATTTTAAATCCCATCATAAAAAATGTAGAGAATATTAAAATGCACTCAACCTGTCCACCACCATGGCGGCAAATTTCCAATCGCTAATTACTTCATCACCCTCGTCCGCTTTTTTCATACGATCCGTAATGAACCGTAATTCCTTAAGAATTGTATGCAATTCCTCTTGCATAACGCTAAGAGGTAACGACGCCGACGTATCCTCGACCGTCGCTGGTCTTCCAGTGGACAACGGTGTGCCGTACGTCGACCTATCAATGAATTATTCCAAATTAATTATTATAAATTTCACTGTTAAACGCGATTAGTTAAGCGTGAGTACATTGTGACGTGAGCGAATTGAATTTTTCTTTCGCAAAAGAAGATTTGTTAGACAGATGAAAATGTTTCATGAAAGTTTCGTTGTTAAGGAAAGAATTAAAGTTTACCTTATATAACCGGAAGGAGGATTTGCTCCGCTGTTTCTGTGACGAAAGTCATCGTCGATGTCTAAAACATTCGCTAGTAAACTCTTGCTACTTCTTTCCTGTAGCTCCATATCCTTCATCCGGCCGCTCATCAGGATATTTTTCTTGGTGATCTTCCCCGGACGACTCATGCGCAGTAAACATGGCAGCCATTGTAAAAACAACGTTTTTATCTGTATAAAATTGATAAACACTCTGTGAATAAGTTTATCCGGAAACGTGTCAGACGTATGCAAAGTATATCGTACAGCTGATGCTTTCGTTTTGAAAAAGAAAAAAGAAGGAAAAAAAAAGAAAACAAGAAAAAAAGAAAAAAAGGTCTGCTCTCATCCGCAGTGGCCATTACAGCCATTAAAGACAGTGCTTTAGTTGTTGAAAGTTTAAAGTGCCTTCGAGGCGTTAGCACTTCCTCTTGGCCGTTGGTTACTAGAAGTTTCATAAACCAACGTGAAACGTGCTTCAAGTAGAGACGAGAATCCTACGGCTACGAAAAATTTCCAACCCCTTTGCCGTCACTTCCGGTGAAAGCAAGGAGGAGGTAGAACGGAGGATAATAAGGTACCAATACGAAAATACGAAATTTGATCACATAAAACTGGTCTGAAGTGATACATAAAGCTCGCCTTAAAGCTTACAACGACTGATAAGTTTGAAACATACAAAGTGTCTCACCATTTCATGAAATGACACATCGTTTTAAAGCTTAAAGCTTGTTGAAATGCGCTACATGAACGTCTCAGCATCAATGTTTTGAATGCACAATAAATGGTCAAATTGTAGCTTAAAAAGTTTTCATCAATGTTCTCAATGAATATAAAGGAATGTTAATTACGATTCTTACCCATTGTGGCATCACGTATCTGTCCGGTGATCTGTGATGAAAGTTTAGCACCACCACCGTTAATACTACGCTGCTCGCCACCATGAACATGATGCAATTGAAGTATGACCCTGAATTCGGGGTGTTCCAGAAGATACCCCGAAGAATAAAAACACACAGAAAGGAGGCGATTAGTCACGGTAATGGATCATTCTTACACTCAATTAATCATTAAGAATGAAAGATTAGACGAGCCTTCCTTTTCGAATCATTTCTTATTAACTTCTCAACTTTTTATTAACCCTTTGATTAATCTTTCATTCCATTAAATGACTATCTTCTTGCACGCATAGGTACCAAAATAATTGAGAGTTAATAACTTTAATAAAAATAATAAAAAGTATAATTTTAAAATTTTAGAAATTTTAGAAATTTTAGAAATTTTAGAAATTTTACTCTCAATTTAAATGAAACTCTCAATTCTGAAATTTTTATTTTAAATCACACATTGTCTTCTCATTTGTACCATATCGACCCAAGGCCGTAGTTCTCAAGATCCTTCCTCGTTGCTCGAAGGATACACGGTTGAGGAAATGGAAATAGTAAGAAACATTCAAGCGAACGAAGAGCATGCTTGGATAACAAGAGACAGAAGTTTCTACATATATGTATTTCGTTACGAAAGCTCGTACGGTTATAAAACAAATAAGCGGTTTCGTAAAAACCTTTTAATTTAGGCGCTGGGGCACACCGCAAAACGTCGAGAAAGCTTGTTACTGTGTTCCTTTAACGCGTTTCTCTGTTTACTCTTTCGTACGTGTGCTCTGCTGGGTCAATTTTCGGTTGGCAGGTTTTATTGGTGTCGAGAGGGGAACGTATAGAGGAAGGAGGGGTTTATTGAAAAGAGACAGTTAGCTGTCATTAAGGTGCCGAATCATTTAATATACAGAATATTAATAAATAGAATATCGATAGAAATATCAATAAACATTCAATAGAAATTTAAAATGACATGGAAATATAAAGCAAAGCGCAAATTACAAACCGTTTGTGGAACACTGTAACAATATTTTCTCTGAAAATGATTAACGACTACGTGTGTCATTGAATTACCGGATATTTAAAGAAGGAAATATCTAACACATAAACATGCAGCTATAGAATGCAATTATAATAATGCACTAATACGCTACATACATTTAAGAGAATACATCACCTGAAATATCAAAGCCATTCTTCAACAATTAGTTATATGAAGAATTAAATAGAAAGTTATAAAAGAAAATTGAATGCTGGTATGCGACAGACTTACTGGGAGATGTAATTGTATCCTTAATTAAAAAGATTATCATATTTACACATTTGTAAGTAATGTTGTATAGAATTGTATATAGCAATTAATAATTTCGCTTCAGAAGATTGTATTATACACATACATTGCATATAATCAGAGGTAAGTACATTGTTTTATAGAAAGGACCATTTGGTGCCATTTTGGTATCATTTCATTTGGTTCGATCAGAAATCTTTGATAATGCAAATCCGTCGTTAATGCTAATCATCGAGTCGCGATTTCCCTGTCATTAAGATAAATGGTTGCCATCGAAAATATTCGAAGAAAAAAAGAAAGGGAGATTAAGGGATGACTCTTAAACCCTGGATTATTCATAAAACATCCATTGGAGCCAATCTAACCGTCACTGGAATGATTAACCGATGCATACCTTGCTTTCTAATCTAAAAATACTGCTATTCCTTTATAGCAACAAAAAGAAATTTATTTTCATTTTATATGAATCGAGAAAGTTAAAAAATTAATAATTTATGAGAGGTTGCAATTTGATTGGGTGTTTCTTCGACAGAATGCTATTTTTTAGCTTTTTTAAAATATAAGAGTTTTCTATAAACTATTCGATTCTTCAAAAGTTCAAACTGGTGTAATCCTTTAAACTGAGTTTTTTTTTTAAATTTAATTGTAATGGAAAGTTTTTTCGTTAAAAATAGAATATATATTTCACCTGTCAATTTTGTAAGACTTAACCAAAGTTTGACAATTGTACGCCCATTGACATTTATCAAATTTAATAGGAAACAACGGGAACATGAGTTTGCACTTAAACTGTTAACAAAACACCGCAGGCTAAAGAAGAAAAAAAAAAAAAAAAAAGAAAAAAAGGGAAAAGAAAAAAACGAAATACGTTAAAAGGAAATGGATGATTCCATGACACTAAAAGAACATATAAGAAAATGTTTCACATATTAAAGAAAAAGAGAAAATTAAATAAAATTTTTCGATATACAAAAATGATTGAAGATCCAATTAAATATATAAATTATACAGAAAATATAAAAAGAAATATTAAAAATAAAATTTTTAAATTTGTATAAATTATCAAAAGTAATATGAAATTCCTCGATGGATAATTTATTTCTGACCATTTCTCAACCATTTAATATTATTAACCATCGATGATCGTTCTCAAAAAGGTATATTTTTTCGTCCTTCGTTCCACCAATCCGAATCTGGCTGTTCCATTACACGGTCCAGTTAGCAATTCACGTTTAATTAGCAGTTAACTACCAGTATTTGTGTCGCTTTCACCAAACACGGTATGCTTGGACTGTAGTTCAAACAAGAGCATTGTTTAAAAAAGTTTTCGAACATTTCGCATTAACACGTTGACTACTGATCGGGGTCTTTTTGTCCCAGCAATTGTTGACATTTTTATGGAAAAATAGAATACGTCAAAGCGCAGATAAGGTAGTGCTCTCGACAACACGTAAATTTGAAAGAGAGGTTTCATTGTTTTTTTGTTTCATGAAAAGAGAATATGCAATAAAGCATCGATTGTTTGAACGTCGACTATCCAAACTATCGACTATTTCAACAACAATCGAGGATCGATTGTGCGCGACCAGAAATTTCAATGGGAGATACAGTGGAACAATTTTTCAAATGTTTGGTTAAATTCAATTTGTTTAACTTGCACCGATATGAAACGAATTCAATTACAGCTAGATATTACCACATTGAAGAAACAAATAAATAAAAAAAAGAGTGAAGTAAACTTGTAGAATTTAATTTTTTTAAATTTTTATTACAATTTTCGAAATTATAAAATTTTCTCATTTGGAAATTAGGATGATCGAGCCATTATCATTGAAAGATTAATAAAATATTTTGATAGAAAATAATTTTTCATAATAACTAGAACAGTTTATGATCAAACATTAATATTGTCTAATGGAGGAGCCAAATACTTTCCATCATAGATCACAAAATTGCTCTGGTTTTTATAAAAAATACCAAATGCAAAATGGAGAATATGTACCCCTTTAAAATGAAAGGAACGTAGCCTTCTGTGCAGAAGACGAGACAAAACAGCGGAAACTAAAGCATCGTACATTCGGGTTAGCTGGAACTGTTCTCCGAAGCCGATGTTTCGTCAAAGTTGCAAAGATAATTTCGAAGAAGGTCGTTCCCTTCACGGAAACGGAAGTGGGAGTAGAAGAATAGTCTGGAAGAGAACGTGTTCTACTTGACTTTTTATACCTAACCCTCGATTCCTGTGCAGCTCCATCGATAGATATATAAGTTTAAATAAGACATTCCTACAGCTGCTGCTCTATTTTCCATCGGATACCATAAAATGAAGCCATAGACTCAAAGGATATCATACATTGGAGAGACTTTTAACATTTTTCCAAAATAAGACACAGTTAAGTTACTTTCATACCAAAGTAGAGAGGTTTATTAAAAATTACTTGAAGAAAATTATTTGTTATAACTTTTATAGGAAATTTCATGTGGAGATCAATAAAAAAAGGGGGTTATGGAGGAACAGTATTCTTATGGGTTTTTGAAATATTCAGCAGAAATTCATAGATATCCTGTTAAAAAATGGAACTTTCGTTAAAATGATGTTTCTTAAGTTGGTTAAAGGACACTTGGAATCTCAAATGCATCTTCTACCCGCTGATAGTCAACGTGTTAACATTGTTATTCAATGGCAGCCTCTGTGTCATTCCAAACGAGACGTCGCGTCGCGTCGCGTCGCGTCGTTAGAAACTTCGCTTTGCTATTCGAGCGGCGTAACAGCATTTTGCGATTCCGCGACCACGGATTTCACATTATCACCCTCGTAACGTGGTTTCCGCTTCGCGTTACGATCATTTCCGTTACGCATTACGATCCCTGTTTGCTTTCTACAGAATTTATTTTCTTCCCAATCCGGTGGGATCGGTAGAAACCATAGGACCATTTCTATTGACTAGAGAAATACGATAAATATCGAAGAAGAATCAAGCCGGTAAAGAATAATATTTCGTAACGCGTCAGGTACTCGCGACTCGACGAGCACAATGGATCCTCTCTAATTAAACAACTTTTCAGAAGTCGAGGGTACATAAAAACAGTGGTTCGCAATTAGTCTCGTCCAATTGCGTGGTGGCGCGAGAAGCGCGGTTAAACAGAGTTAAATAACGTTTATTATTCCCCTTCACCGTGCAACGTCGTCGTCGGACAGGAAGTGCAGGAGCACGCGGAAATGGTCGGCGTACTTTCGCGGTTTCACATCTTCTTTCGGCCACGCGATATAATAAAGTAACTACGGCTGCAAGTTCAGCGGTGCCACTTTGTGTACAGAGAAGCCGTGAGTGGAACTAATGAGAAGAAGTGGTTACAGGGAAACGTAGCAGCGACAGAAGAAGAAAAAGAAGAAAAAGAAGAAGAAGAAGAAGAAGAAGAAGAAGAAGAAGAAGAAGAAGAAATGGCGATAGTGAGAGATGCAGAATTGCTCAGAAAGTCATTCAATAGATATTGCTTTTTCACTGTAGATAGTGGAGATGTGTCTTGTACCCCCTTTGAGTGCTGAAGTTAATGATGAATTTTGGAAGTATTCGAGTGATAGTCGAACAGTTTCTACTACTGAGATTCAAAAGCCTATAGAACCATAGGACTATAAGGGAAGGAGGAATGACCCTAAAAGTAGGACTGAGAGAGAGAGAGTGTTACTTTCCTAGATCTGTAGGAGGATGCCGGCGGAAACTGGTCCATTAGAACTGGTTAGTGGGGCTGACGTGGACGGTCCCTGCCCCAGACGCCTGGGTTCTATATTCACAGATCTTATAT